AAAAAAAAAAAAAAAAAAAAAAATACTAATAAAAAAAATCAACTCGTACAATATAAAGATACGTGATGAGATAAATAAAACGTTATGCCAAAGGAAGTTAGCCGATGTGTATTCCTTCTCAAAGAGAAGTGGCGACAAGGACTGGTCAGAAGACTCTGTCCAGTTGCTGCAGCTGATAAGACAAGTTTTCGACGTACAAAATGTGTATCTTGGTAGGATATACCTAACAGGACAGAAAAGGAAGAGAAAAAGAAAAAGGATTATGCGATTCATCCAGGCCACTGAAAATTGTGACTTAGAAAATGAAACCATTCATGATAAACGACTGAACAGGATCTTTACTCAATCGAGGGGACACATTAAGGTGGATTATTCTATTTGTTCGAAGCTTTTTCCATTTGAGACAGATTTTCTCTTCCCGAATTTTGTGCGGCCCGACTTCTCCTATGACGACCCTGGCGACGACCTGTTCACGTGGGTCAACCCATTTCACCAGGGGGGGAACTGCGTGCGCAGGGTGAAGGGCGGCATGGGGGCCTCAGAGGGGCAAGAAGAGGAGGAAGAAGCGGATGAGGAGGAGATGGAAGAGAAAGAGGCGGATGAGGAGGAGATGGAAGAGAAAGAGGCGGATGAGGAGGAGACGGAAGAGAAAGAGACGGATGAGGAGGAGACGGAAGAAGAGGCCGCTGCTGAGGAGGCAGAAGCGGAAGAGGCGCAGGAACACCCCATCAGCGACGAACATAAGGGGAGTGACCACCACTCCACCGCTGATCCAAGTGAAGAAAAAAAAACAGAAGCGAGTAACGAAGAGGAAGAACTTCAAATGGAGCTACTCAACACCCTACACATGAACCTCTCCTACGACTGCTTTTACATTTATGAAGTAATGAGAGAAGACAATTCCTTCCTCTATGCCAAGAGCAAACCAGGAGACTTTCTTTTGATTCCCCTTGTTTATTACTCCTACTACGATTGGAACTTCGTGCATGCGCTGTACTGCCTCCGTGAGAGGGCCTTCCTGCAGTCGACTGCACCCTGTGTGCAGCTCGCGCCACGTGGTAATAGCACCTCAGTGGGGAGAGCGCAGTGACCCCCATGTGGAAGCAGCAGTTCACGCATCGTTCGAAGCAGCAGTTTGTGCATCCTTCCAGGCAGACGTGTGTACGTGTGCATACCCGTAGTGATTGCCACCTTCCTACCCACCCCCCTCTTCCTTTTTCCTTTCCCTCGCTTTTGCAAGATGGTATCAAAGCGAAGGCTGACCAAGTTTTTGGGAGCCCCGAAGAGGTAGGAGAGGTAGAGAAAGAACAGAAAGAAGAAGAAGAAAAAGACGAAAAAGACGAGAAAGAAGAAAAAGATGAGAAAGACGAAGAAACATCGCAGGAACGATCAAGCGGAAAGGACGCGAAGCCTAAGCTGGACTGGAAAAAAAGCGAGCCCGTGGAAATGTGCCTCTGCCTAGACAACAGGGGCAGCGTGAACAAGATGAGCACACAACAGATAAACGAACTGATAAATTTTTCCTACTTCTTAATCACGCGGATTGTGCGGGGGGAGCGCAAATGTGTGGAGGAGCAGGTGAGCCAGGCGGGCAGCCGCGCAAGGGGGGGCGTCCCCACAGAGGGTCACACGGATCGAAGCGGAAATGGGCAAACAAATAGGCACAAAATATAGACAAACAAACAGGCACAGAAATGGACAAACAAACCGCCACAGCGCTGTCCTTCCCAAATGCTTCCCCCACACGCAGGTCAACTACATGATTAGCTGCGAGCACGGAGAAGAGAAGCAGGCCACTGACACGCTGAGGAGCCAAATGAAAAGTGAAAACGACGAACATATCATAAGTGAATTTAAAAACACCTTAACAGAACATCCTCTCCTGAACAAGTCGGAAGATTTAACCAAATGCATGTGCCTGTTGCAATGGACAAAAAAGGAAATTAAAAGACATCAGCAGAGGATTCTCCAGATGAGTATATCACAAATGGGCCACACATTAACAGCGCGGAGCACCTCAGAATGCACCAATGACTGTTTGCACGAGTCAATGTTTGGATTAGCCAATGTTTGGACTAGCCAATTTTTCACTTTTTTTTTTTTTTTTTTTTTTTTTTATGCAGGAAAAGTAAAGGTGGAGTGGAATCAAAACTTGAGGGCGATTTTACTCAGCTGCTACATTTTGCTGGGTTATGATTACTCCCTGTTTGGTGCACCGGATGATGTGAAGGAGGACACCCAGTGGGGACAACTCACCCTGTGTGTGAATGCCTTCCTCATCGATAAGCTGATGTCGTTTGACCCGCTGCTCTCCTTCGAAGGTTAGTTCGCGCGGCGGAGAAGGGGAGAAGCGGAACGCCCTCTTCCTACAGCCCGTCCCCTTACAGCTTGTCCCCCTACAAATTTGTCCCCTGCCCACCATTTGTTCCCCCCCCCCCTTCCGAAAGAAAAACGAATCGAGGAGCTGCTCCAAATGGACGCGCTGCTGGATCAAGTTTCCTCATCAAGAAAGAAAAAGATACCCTCTCGAATGCAAAGCATAACTACATTTGGACTAACACTCTTAGGTCACTTCAACCAGGTAGTAGAAAAAAAAAAGACGAAAAAAGGCCATGTCATCAGCATATGTATCGAATTGCACAGCAGATGGGAAGCACACACTCATTTTTTGTTTCCCGTGTGTACATTTGGACGCCTCTCAGCTCACGAGGGAAATTTTAAAGACAATTCTCAAAGTGAAGGAAGAAAAACCTGCCACCGTTTCATGAACGTTGGGGCGGAAAAGCCAAGAGAAGTCACACTTCCTCTGTACTGCAGTAGTAGCTCGCTCTTCATATTAATGTTCCTATTAACGTTCATATTTTTTTCTTTTCTTTTTTTTTTTTTTTTACCCAATGCGCCATCCCCCACGCATGCAAACAACTACGCCATTTTTAACTCCCCAAATGGCTAGCACTGACGGGATTGCATTTCCCCCCCTTGTGTCTGTTCCTTCACATGTATCAATTTTTAGAATAGCTCGCACCGAAGGAAGTGCAGCGATGGCCCGTGTAGAAAAGACCAAAATGCAGAAGGGAAAAGCATCATTTGGGGTTCCTCCATTTGGGGTTTCCCCATTTTGAGTTTCTCCATTTTGGAGAAGACGCACAAAATTGTCTGAGCGAGTCAGGTAAAATTAACAGTGGGGGGGAGGGGGCCTTCACAACAGGCGCTTACCAATTGTCTGACCCATAATTGCAACTTAAACGTAGCCACTGAACTGAATTAGATCAAACCTTAATTAAACGTGAAAAACGGACAAGACGCGCTTTCCACAGGGAAAACCACCCCCAACATGGTGGAGGGGGAGAATTATGTCTGTCTGGGTGCCCACAGGTCGTAATGAGCCCCGTAAATGGAGACATAGCCAGAAAGAAAAAAAAAAGAAAAAAAAAGAAAAAAAAAGAAAAAAAAAAAAAAAAAAAAAAAGAAAAAAAAAACGTAATGGCGTTGAAAGGCAAAAATACAAGAAGTCACACTTCACCATTTGCGCAGCTGTCACCACTCGTTTGAGATCCCCTGGGAAGAACCAAAAAGGGGAAAAGTGAAGAGACTTCAATAGACAGTTTGCTTCTTAAATAGGCAGTCTCCTTAAAATGACAGTTTCCTTCTTCCACCATTTCCGTGAAGAAGGGGACAAAGAGACGCCGCACAGCATGTGGTACATAATGAGGCAGCTACTTTTTTCTCTCACTCCATTTTGCTCTTCCGTGTGTTGTACAGGGGAGGGGGACGTACCATGGGGGAATACACCATCACCCAGACACACATGTGTCGCTTCTCTTCCCGCTTAACCTGGCCACCTCTCCTTGCCGCTTTTCTTCTGCGCTTCTCTGTCCCCCCTCAGTTCTGGTGCACATTTTGCTGCTTTGCGTTGCCGCCCTGATGGAACTTAAAGAGGGGAATAAACTTCTCATACGTCTTCGGCTTCAAATTAGCGTAGGGTCTGCCGTGATTATACAGCCATGTGTCATAATCCATATAAATCTTAATGAGGAGCTGCTCTATGAGCTTCTTCGCTAGTATATAGTGGTCGTATTTTTGGCAGGACACACAGAGGTGAAGCGATTCATTGGCTTCTTTTTTCTCTTCCCCTTCTAAGTAACCTGAACCCCTACCTCTTAACCTTAACTTGCAATCCGTATCGATGCATATCTTCTTCATGTTTGTTCCCTTAAGTCCGATAATTCGCTTCGCTATGTCGAACCCGTTGAAGGGATCAATCTGCACCTCGTACTTGGCTGTGTATTTTTTAATAACAGGGAAGTTGTCCGAGGAAAGAGACTCATTAGCTAAGTGGTAACTGTTCTTTATGTTGTTGATATGTTTTCCATTAAGAGCGCATAGCTTGTCTGCAAATGTTGTTGCCTCCTTTGGCAGCATCTTTTCCTTCTCGTCGTAGTGCAGGGCGCCGTTGTTCTTGGGGTGTCCCTCTCCGTTAGCGCTGCTGGCTCTACTCGCGTGGACATTCGCGTGGACATTCGCGTGACCACCTGCATGAACGCTCGTATGTATGCTCGCCCCGCTGCCAATAATGCCGCTTCCACAGCTATCCCCCCCGGTGTTGGCTCCCTTGTGAGGGGCTCCCGCCTGGTCCTTCCCCTTCCCACCGTCGTATGCAAAGCTCCCATTCTGCACCTTCGAATCAGACTTCATTTTTTCATACGCCTTTATCTTTTCCACGAAGTTGCAGCTCCGGTCATCGCTACTCATTTTGTTCTTGTAAATCACACCGCTCTTCTCCATCATGGGAGATCCGTTGCTGAAGTAGCTAGACAAGAGGACATTATCGAATTTCATCGTTTGGTTGTTTAGATTATGTGCCTCCAGTGTTGCGCCGTCTGATATGCATCGGGAGGTGGCGTTCCCCTTGTTGGGGAAGCTGTAATCCATATGCCCGTTGTTCATTAGGGTTGCATTGCCAAAGCTGTTAGGGGAGGTCACTCCACTGATCAGTCCGCCGATCACACCGCCACCGAAATCGCCTACGGGACCGACATTGTCGTTGATGTACTTGCTCCCCTGTAGGTCACTGGAATTTCGGACGGCTTGATGGTGGGATGACACATGGGGGTGATGCTTCATACTGCTGCTGAGCGGCGTGCCCATAGTCATCCCGAGGGGCGTTCCCAAATGCACATGGTGACCTTTGCTTTCCCTGTCCCCTTTCGCCCCATTCTGGTAGGTGACGAACTGCAGCGAGTTGAACCCGTGGCCTCCAACAGCGCTGACGCCGTAGTCCATCGGGTCGGGGGCACAACTCGCACTGTAGTGATATTCGCTCTGGAACCTCCTGCTGTACAAGCCGTTATCGAATCTGCCATCGAAGCTGTTATCGAAGCCGCCATCCATGCCGCCGTACGCCTTCTCCTCCATGGAGCCACCTTTCCTGATAAAACTGGATTCACCAAATGGTTTTTTGCATCTGTTTGATCCCTTCATCAGGCCGAACATCTTTGTATTATGGTCTGTCTCCTTCTTCCTTGGGATGGTACCAAACCCCCCCTTGGACAAGTTCATCATCGCGTAGTTATTTTCATCGAGGGGTAAACTTGTGCTGCTGTAGTTGTCCGTGATGCTAACGCAATTGGCGAGGCTATTAAAGGCTTCGTTTTCAAATGGGATGTGGCCGCCATCTTGACTGCTCTCCTTTTGGAGGCTGTTGCTATCATCATGGTGTTCCCCGTCCGAGGGTAGCATGCCCCCAAAGGAGCTGCCGCACGGGATGGCTCCATTCGCCACGTTCGCTATGCTGGGGGTGTCACAGAGCCCCTGGAATTTGACCCAATCGCTGTGCGACTTCAGGGCGGCCTTCTCCTTCCCATTTCCACTAACAATAAACTTCATCATTTTATCATTCACGTGGTTCCGAGTTGGAGCCACCGACGCAGTAGTCACCCCCGATGACGCCGCCGTCTCTGCGGAGCCCCTCACATTGGCCATGTAGAGGTTTATGTTGTTCCAATTCATTGTTGTTCCCAGGGAGGGGGTACTCAGCACATCAGGCATGTTGCTACCATTTAGTACTCGTCCTCGGTTATTTGGCGACACTTTCCCACGAAAAACTCCATGCGGATTCTTCCCATCTGCTTTGTTTCCCTTTAGATGGTTTCTTAGTCCAACAGACGAAGTGTCTGCATCGTAGCAGCTATGCATGGAATAGACCCCACGTGGTTCTATATAAAAATCTGGAGGGCTGCACATGCCTTTGTTCGCCTTAATGTTGTCATCCATGGTGTTCATTTTCTCTGCATATCGCTGATTCGGAAGGTAAGGTGTGAAGTTGTCACTGTATGGTAGGCACTCCGCCATCGGAGCTGCGTTATAAGGATCACTTGTGTAACACACCTCCCCGCAGTTCTGATTCTTCACCCTGTGCATGGATCTTCTCTTTTCGTACGACGAAAGGGAATCGTTTTCCTCTTTTTTCTTCAACGTGGCAGAATTGAGGAAGGGGGGATGTTGCCGGCAGTACACGTTATCTCCTTTTGAGCAGGTGCCTCCGTTGTTGGTCTTATCCTTAAACTGGTTTACTCGAACGTCACACCTGGGATCACTTCGGACATCACACCTTGCATCACCTCGGACGTCGCTTCTCTCCTCTCTGTAGTCCACGCCTGTTAATCGATTCGTTCTGTCCGTGTAGTGGGTCCCGGGACCCATGACCCAGTTTTCTCCTTCGCGCGGGGCAGCGTTTCCTTCGTCCTCGCGATACTCACGTTTTTCCTCGCGCGGGTTAGCATTATTGGTCTTATTGGCAATGTTATCCATGTTGGGATTGCTACCCCTGTTGGTGCTACTGGCCGCGCTTCTCACATTCACCTCCTTCGAGGGCGCGCCTCCTCCTTGCGAGCGACCCATGTCACCGACTCGCCTTCCCTGATAGTACTTCTCACTGGACAGTACGCTAACCTTGGTGTTGACTTCACCGTTATCACCTTCCATGTCATTGTCAACCTCCTGAACCCAATTGTAGACATTGGAGTAGGCCAGTGGCTCCATCGGCTCCACAGAAATGTCTGCGACGTCGTAATGGGTATTAAGGCGACCTCTGGGATGGGAGGTAAGGGCATCATTAAGCGTTTGGTTCGTCTCGTGCTTCATCTGCATCTGTTGCGTGTTGTGTATCTTGTCCTCCTGGTCCAAAGAGTTGAAGACGTGACTTACGCAGGAATCACAGGCGAAGTTGCCTAAGTGGTAGTCCCCCTCGTCTTGCTCTTTCATGCTATTCATCTTATCTTCGTCGAAGGGAGGAATTCCTCCCCCCAGGGCACCCTTGCTGCCGTCGTTCTGGGGCTCCACATCGAATCTGAAGTCACCACCCATGTGAGAGCCAATCTGAGAGTCCAAGTGGGAGTCTATGTGAGAGTCCAAGTGGGAGTCTATGTGAGAGTCCATGTGGGAGTCCATGTGAGAGTCCATGTGAGAGTCCATGTGAGAGTCCATGTGAGAGTCCATGTGAGAGTCCATGTGTGAATCCATGTGAGAATCCATGTGAGAATCCATGTGAGAATCCATGTGAGAGTCCATGTGCGAATCCATGTGTGAATCCATCTGAGAATCCATCTGACAACCCGTGGGGGCGTCCACGCTGACGTCTTTGCAGCTGAGCAAGTTCTTCACCAGGCCAGTTTGGAGGCCTACCCGATTGGATCGATCTGTGTGATGGGGATCATTTGGTTCTACGGTCATGGAGGCGTCTCCTTCTGCTGCGGCTTCTTCTAGCGCTACCTCTGCTGCTGACGATTCCGCTCCGCCCCCCTCCTGATCCTCTTGCTCCTGCGGGTCTGCTGCCCCCCGCGCACCTCCGTCTCCCTCCGTCTGGTAATACAGCTCCATGTAGTCCTTGTGGTCATTAAGGTAGTTATTCTTCAGAAACCCTTTTATGTATGCCATGAAAGAATCGTTGACTCCACTTTCCCCTGCAAAGGTGCTGTAGGAGTTGGGAGGAAAAACTGGCTCTGCTCCGCTGTTGGAGGGTTCTTCCTTGGTTAGACACTCCAGGGGGTCCATGTGCAGGTAGGAATCACTGTAGAGTAAGTTCCTCACGACGTCTTCCCGGTCGTCATCGGCTTTATCACCTCTGCCTTTTTCGTCCGGATAGAAATGAGTCCCATTGTTTCCGTCGCCCTCTGCAACCCCATCTGGAAGAATCCTATCGGAAGAACAGACATTTCCAACGCTGAGTTGGTTACTACGAAAGAATAAGTTAAAGTCATCGTCCAGGAGGCGGTCGTTGCATGAGTCATGGGACACTCCATCGTGGCCTTCTCTGTCTTTTTCGTCTTCTTCTACTTCTTTCCCTTCTTCCCCTCTTCCCGTCAGTGCCATCCGTGTGCTGTCCTTAAAGATCCCATTTCCTATCATCACGTTCGATGCGTCGTTGGACTTAACCAATTGGTTGCTTTCCAGGGAATTGCAATTCACATTGGTTGTTCCGCTGTTGCTGTATATTACGTGACAGTCGTCATGTTCCTTGTGGGAGTAACTTTCGAAGTGGTCACCGTGATGTTGGCGACTGTCTTCTGAACAGTCTTCTTCGCAGTCCCTTTGGCAGTCCCTTTGGCAGTCTTCACCGCCCATCGTGCCATTCGTGGTACACACATTCGCTTCTCCTGCTGCACCGGGGCCAATTCCGCTCAGGACCTCATCAAAAAAGAAATCGTTCTCGAATTGTCCTTCAAAGTCTAAGTGTGCCGCGTCTTCTAACTGCCCTTCGAATTTTAAGTACGGCGCCTCTTCCAATTGCACCGTCTCCTCCAACTGCCCCTTTGTGAACATCAGATCGTCCCCCTCATAGGAGTCATTCTGAGCTGAGTTACCCACAGGTGATGCCACCACACTGAAGGACTCTTCCTCGTCATTCTTTACCAAACTGCTGAAATGATCGGAACAATTTGTCCCCCTTACATTCCTCACACAGTTGTACTCATTAAGCTGCATCTTACCACTGCTAAACGGTACATTTCTGCTACTGTCGGTTTGTTCATCTGTTCTTAGGACGGACATGTGTTTATTGCCTTGTGCGAGATGGCTCTCCTTTCCTTCCCTCCCAGTGTATATTCCGCCATGCGCTGTGTTGTTAACCCGGCCATGCGATGTGCTGTTAATCTCGCCATCCGGAAACACATTACCGTTTTCACCATCCCGACATGCGCTCCTACGAGCTATACTTTTGACGTCATACCTTTCGGCCCCGTCGAAGGGTTTGCCATCCGGATGGTCTCCTACGGACGTACAGCACGATGCGTGATTAGCCATTCCGATAAGTTTCCTTCCCCCATGGAAGTCCATGCAGTGGTAATTTAGAAAGGTGTCTTCCTCTTCGTCACACATATCGACTTTCTGTCTGTCGATCCCCCAATTGGGATCGTATGTACTGAAGGGGAAGCTATGGATGATGTGTTCTTTTTTGTTTTTACTTAAATTATCGAGGCTCACATATCTGTAGTCGGCCAGGGGTGGTGCACTCCTATCGCTTCTACTTTGTGTGTGGTGTTGGTTGGCAGCCGATCCGTTGTTTGATCCCTGCGAGAACCGATGCCCATGCGCTTCTCCGAAATGGAAGCCACGATTGCGAATGTTGCTGTAGTTGTCATTGCAGTCGTCATCGTGGCGGTAGCCGCAGTTGTAGTCGCGGTTGTGGTTGCCCTCGCTGTGGACTCCTCCTTGGTGATCACTGCTCTCCCTTCGGGTAATCATCTGCACGCGCTTATCGCCAGAGGGGAGCTTCTCTCCAACATGTTTCGCGGGGGGTGGCTGATTTGAATGCTCATCATTTGGGAGGGACCTTTCCGTACCCATCCCCTCCCCGTGTGTATCAATAAGATCTCCTCCATGAACGAACATCACATTTGTCTCGTTTTTCTCCGAGTTGGAAAACTTAGTGACCTGTCCACTGACAAGACTGGCATCACGACTGCCACCTCGAGTGGCACTCTCGGTCACTCCGTTTCTATGAACTCTTTTGTAATCCTCTACGCCGTCTCGCTGGGACAACTTTCCCCTCTCAACAAAGTGGAGGTCCCCCTCCTCACCATTAGACTGCCCCGAATGGATAAAACGGTTCTTTTTCACCTCGTTGGGAGCACAAGACAGGTTCGTAGACTTATCCTGATCCTTGAAGTGGTTACCACATGAGGTCACACTTGACATGTTAAAAGAAAAATGATCTCTTACGCAATCGTTATTAAAAAACATTTCGGCGTCGACACTTGAAGAGATAGATAAGACACCTCTATCTGGTTCATCCATGTCGCACTCTCCTTTCATATAGCTGTTTTCACTACATAGATTCATCCCCTCGATGTTGCAATTCCCACTGTTCACTCCATTTGTGGTTCTCAAATTTGCAGACCAGATGGTTTTATCGGGCACCACATCTGCAACGTGATGAGATACATTTTTTTCTTTACCATCTTCGTCGTTCTCATAATAGAAACAATTGCTAGCTTTGTGCTTGGGGGGGACTACCATCGTGATGTTCGTCACTGCCTCGCCTGAACTGCTCAGGTAATTGGACTCGCCAGCCCTTACGTAACAGTCCCCTTTGATGTTGCTACAGTTAGGGGTAGAATCATTAGCGGTAGAAGCATTTGGGGTCGACTCATTAGCGGTACAGGTATTATGGGTGGACTCATTAGAGGTTGACTCATTATGGTCGCTTCGCTGATCATCTTTCACACTTGTGTCTGCCGGAATGGTACCCACGGGGTAGCCATGGTCCCGATCGCTGCCCCCCTCGTAGGCACTTCTTCCAGCGCAGGTGGCCGCGCTGTCCAGAAAAAACACCTCCTTCTCACCCATTATGTCACTCGCATCGATCAGCCCTCCTGGACCCCCCGATGTGTGCAAGTCCACAATTTTGCATTCGGAAAGGAGCAACTTGTTTGTCTTCTCTACCCCTTCATTCGACTGCATCGTACCATGCGCATTTGCCACTTCATCGTCTTCCTTGTTCACACTTCCAGCGTGCAGGTTGGTTTGGTGAACGGGGTAGAAGCTCCCTTCGTCCGGTCCCTGCAGCAGTTGCTTCTTCTCCATCGCGCAGGGACCCAACAAGGCAACGTTACTCCGTCACTTGGGTTGCCACCCCCTTAAGGCGCAAATGTGCAAGGGAAAGGAGAAGAAAAAGGATGCAAGGAGACCCACGTGTGATTCCGCAGAGTGGCAAAATCAGGTGTGTAGCGGAAGAGGGAGACGAGTGCCAGAATGCGCCCTCCACATTAAAAAAGTAAAAAAAATAAGAACAAGAAGAAGAAGAAGAAAAAATAATAAAAAATGAGAAACAATAAGAAACAGTAATAACCAAAGGGATGAAAATTAAGAGAATTTCAAAACAAGGAGACGCTCAATGAACAGGCGCTCAATAGAGAACCTTCAAAAAGATCCGCTTAAAAAGACGCATGTGCGTGAAGATAAACACGATCGAGTGCATAGGCAGTATGCAACAGCCGCATATTTGTTAAGCTGATCGCTGGATGGAACACAGGCAGGTGTGCAATTCCCACGAATTGCTCTTCCCTGGTTAGTTAATTTAAAATTGTTTTTTCCTTTAATTTGAAATGAATTTTTTGTTTTTTTTTTTTTTCTTTTAATTTTGGATAAGCTGCTAGCTGTTTAATTTGAGGTAAAGTTTTGTTTCGCTTTTGTATGCAATTATTTCTGTCTGCTCCAACTTAGGATGTGTGTCTCTCTGCGCCTTCCTCCTCGCAACGGGCCACTCTCTAATTATTGCGGCTCAGGGGAAGAGGCATTTACATTTTGTTTAAGCCACTTTGCGTTTCTGGAAATGACGCTTTAAAATGGCGCTTTAAAATGGTGCTTCAAAATGGTGCTTTATAAAGGACACCTTAAAGATTGTGTTTTCTTTTAATTACAGAGAAAGATTAGATCTTCTGCCAATTCAGTGCAACAAGGATGGGTGACTCGACACACTTGTTGCGAGGGAACACGGCAATGAAGACTTGTTCTTTTTTTTCTCTCTCTCTCTCTTTTTTTTTTTTTTTTTAATTTGGGGTGATCAGTCTGCACAGTGCGCGAGAAATGTGTGCAAACATGAAATGGGCTGTCTATACACACACGATGGGAAGAGCAACAACGCATTTGCAAATGAAGGAGTTCACTCCTAAAAGCATTCGTGTTGTGTCCTCTCCCACTTAGACGGCCTCTTTTATCATTCCTGCACAGGCAGGATCGTTAATTAGACATATTTTAGAAAAAAAAGAAAAAGTGTTTCATGTCATCAGTGTAGTATCAACATGAAAGCATGCACAAGCAGGTATTCCTGTGTGTATGCTGAAACAAACTGCACAATTCATGCTGGTCAATGCTTAATGCAGAAGCAATAAATACATGAGCGGGTAAATCGAATTGGTTTCAATTAAAAATGAGAATTGAGAAAAATAGAAGTGGGACATATGCGTGGTTGTATATGTACGCTTTCAAATGGGTACACGTAGTACGTATGTATATGTATATGCATGTATATATACACACGTGCGTGTGTGCAGGTGGGAGAACTTAAAAATGACACAAAGGGATGCTTCGAAACAAAACAGACCGCATCTTCCCTCCCCTGAACATGAGACTGCAGTGTGGAGAGATTACGCTTATAAAATTGGCACAGGGGAGAGAAGGCCGCTCAGGGCTGCGCTTATGGCTACCGCTATGACTACGTCTTTGCTTAGACCTGTGCCTGTACCTGCGCAAGTTCCACACTGCATAGACGTTGGCCCTTTAAAATTGCCAAACGGGATTGAAATGGTACCCAACGCCAAAGGGGATTCACGTGCCCCTCAACAATGGCACTCCGCGCGTGGACACATGGGTCGTCATTCGCGTTCACTCCAGGACAGAC